TGTCGTAGAGATGAAACGTCGTTGCTCGCAGCGCAATTTGACACGAGGAGCGACGTGTCATAATTGACAATTAGGGCTTTAACAAAATGCGACTTGTCTCACTGCTAAAATGCATAGTAGAATCGCACGATGATATTTACTGACTGCCGGTAAAGTCTACAGTATGGTGGCACAGTAAAGAACGTGCTGCCGATATGACGTTTTACAGAACGTCATAGCGCGAGCAGCACTCTTCCTATATTTCGCTGAAAAAGCACTTTTATTAAAATTTTATTATATGTATATTAAACAAGAATTCAAGAAGAAAGTATAAATATATATTTATTTAAGAAATACATATATTTAAAATATATTTAAATAAAAGTATACACACACACACACATATATATATATATATATATATATATATATATATATATATATATATATATATATATATATATATATATATATATATATATATATATATATATATATATATATATATATATATATATATATATATATATATATATATATATATATATATATATATATATATATATATATATATATATATATATATATATATATATATATATATATATATATATATATATATATATATATATATATATATATATATATATATATATATATATATATATATATATATATATATATATATATATATATATATATATATATATATATATATATATATATATATATATATATATATATATATATATATATATATATATATATATATATATATATATATATATATATATATATATATATATATATATATATATATATATATATATATATATATATATATATATATATATATATATATATATATATATATATATATATATATATATATATATATATATATATATATATATATATATATATATATATATATATATATATATATATATATATATATATATATATATATATATATATATATATATATATATATATATATATATATATATATATATATATATATATATATATATATATATATATATATATATATATATATATATATATATATATATATATATATATATATATATATATATATATATATATATATATATATATATATATATATATATATATATATATATATATATATATATATATATATATATATATATATATATATATATATATATATATATATATATATATATATATATATATATATATATATATATATATATATATATATATATATATATATATATATATATATATATATATATATATATATATATATATATATATATATATATATATATATATATATATATATATATATATATATATATATATATATATATATATATATATATATATATATATATATATATATATATATATATATATATATATATATATATATATATATATATATATATATATATATATATATATATATATATATATATATATATATATATATATATATATATATATATATATATATATATATATATATATATATATATATATATATATTTAATATTCTTTTTAAATAAATTTATATAAATTTTGCTGACAAAGAAAGACTGTAATCCATATATTACGAAATGAATTTTAAAAAATAAGTTTCGAAAAAATTTTTACGGAAAAATTTGTCTTTCTCTAAAAATTAAATCTATATATCGTGTATAAAATTTTCTAAACATTTTTTCGATTTTATTGCTTCGGTATCATGAACATTATTTCTGAGATCAATGAAAGAGAGTCGTATTTCAAAATATCAAGGTCTTGCGAAGTATCGACGTATACCGAGAAATTACGAGCGATGGCCGCGATTAGCGAGGCTATTAATCAAAGAACCGGCAAATTTGCAAAATATGAACTTGATATTACGACGTACGGGTTGCAGCATCCGCGTAGCTTCGCTCTCTCTCCTCTCTCTTTCTCTCCGTATAAGTACTACATAAATGTCAAATTACGTAATTAGAATTGCACGTTACGCGCTACGCTAAATAATTACGCCGTTACCGTCGTAACACTATTATTATGCCCGCGAGGAAGGCACTGGATATGCGCGCGCGATAATATCTCCAGCGGATCTAGCCAAGCTGGTTGCTTGTCGCAATATGTACGCCAATAATGCATATTTTTGATTGCGTATATGCATTCGCGCGAGTTAAGAATGTAAGCGAACTTCGCGGTTTTTCTTTTCTATCTGGAAAATCACTCGCCATTAAATTCAACATCGTAAACTTTCTAGCGATCTTCATTAAAAACGCACATCGTAAACTCTTACCAGACGATTGTTTTTAGATCGATTTATGATAAATGTTATTCATAAGAAGAAAAAATTTGTGGGCGAACAAACTCATGATAACACATTCGATGCCAAAAGCGATGCACCCATGAATGCACAGTCTTGGCACGTGATGTCAGCGTTTATCGCCTATAAATATCAGGTATTCAGAAAAAGTGGGTGGTTGCCCACGCAAGAAGCTGCGAGAGTTTAACAGCCTCTTGTTATGCGCGTTTACGACTTTGAAAAACTGTTGCCGGTATCAGTAGCAGAAATATAAATAATAAAAAATCAAATATTATTCTTCTTATTTAACTTTAATTGGACTTTACTTGAGCAGAATGTCAATCTGAGAAAAATAATTACACAAAAAATATTTCCAAATTGAAGTGTTCGAGAGGCATCATTAATGAATATATCATCTTAAGTATTAAAATCCTGGCAAAACGACGATTCGTTCAATTTTCCATCGGCGTTGCGCTATTTCGCAAAAATGAATAGGCTATTCGAGCGGCTTTGCCGCGCGCGAATAAATTTGCATGCAGTTGCGATCGGCGGGCAAAAGGCGAAGTCGGCATTCACGAGAATGCGACATCGGGACGCAATGGCTCCACGTACACACACATATGTGTATACCTATACATAGATACGCGCGTACATATGTGCCCCTGCTCTCTTATCTGCCTACGTCGATGCGTGACGGCGTTAACACGCTACGCGCCGTCAACGCCTGGTAGCGAGAGGCATCTTGATTGCAACAGACGAGAGACGCCGCGTGCATTACAGCTGATCCTTGGCGCCTCTGTTCCTCTCTGTCCTCGCCGTCGTCCCTCTCCCTCCCCAGCGTAGCTGTGAATGAAGACCTCCCAATGTACACTCTTACTCCGCT